ACCTAACAACCATTCAAGGCCTAGCTTGTTCTCTGTGCTTGTGTGCCTGTGCATAAAGATTTCATTAGTAGTAGCAATGTACATCCCCTTAGGACCCGGGGCTTGGGGAGGAGTGGAGACCGAGTCCAGAGACTCTACTGTAGTCGGAAATCCAGCGTGACATGCGCTAAAGCGACCCGGGCATGGCCCTGCCAGCTCTTAAACAGCATTACACGGCCGTGAGCAGAACATTAGCTCTGCGACCCGTCCTCTGATAAACATTAGCTCTCCCAACACTGCAGTACACAGAATTAAACCTGTGTTTGCTAGTGGCACACGTCACGCAAAGATGTTTCTAATTTGTGAATAATTGCATTATTGGGTTTCACCACCTCTGAGCAACTGTAGCTAGAGCTTGTAACAGTGTAGGACATTGTGAATGTTCCTAATAAATGAAAATATTTGCCTAGCAGGAAAGCTTAAATGCATGCCCTGTGGTTTAGTGTTCAGAGAAGTGATTTTCCTCAGGTCTGAACCATGTGTGTGTGTGTGTGTCGGGCTTCTTCGATGGCTGTCTTTACCTCAACGCGCTCCTGTTCACAAGCACTTTCAATAACACCATGCGAGGAGAGGCAGCAAACAAGGTGTGCCTTTCTACAGCCAAACACCACAAGCTAAATTCCTCAATTCATTAGGAGAGAAACGGAGCACAGCTCTCCGCGCATTCATCTTGCAAATGTGGCCCAAAGAATAATTTACAGTGGCTCATATTTCACTTGGGTACATAAGGGCAAACAGTTTGACTATTGAGGCGTTAGGGAGAGAAAAATGCAGAGTGTGCCACTAGAGGATGGGGGAGATGAAGGATTATTTCAGATGCTGTGATGGGGGAGAAGGTTTCCTCTCTCTCAGTCAGAAACAATGCCTAAAACGGTTTCAAATCAGGTACAGATCAATTGTCAGTAAGCAGACAGAAATTTGCTTTGTTTTCCTCACTTCAAAAGATGCTCAATTAACACTTGAACTAAGAACGTGCACCGATTAAACTATTTTATTACAATCAATCTCATATTTGTTTTGTATTTTTAACCACTCTCCTTTTTAAAAGTTCACTCAATATTTAATACAACTCTCTGTCCTATTCTCCCCCCACTACTGTATCTTGTTTCAAATCGCAGAAACTTAAGTAAAGTCAGTTATCATTTTATTTTCAAATTAATTTCTTAAAGTGCAATAAAATATACCAAACTCAACATAAATCTACAATAATTAAATTACATAAAATGGTAATGAATATTAATATTTAGGATTAATATTATTATAAGAAATATATAAAACATTATTAATATCCATTTATATAATACAAATATATGACACGTATATAAATAAAAGATATAAATGAATACAAACAATTAATATAAAATAATTAATATAAGATGTTTTTTTTAAATCCCACAAAACTGAACGAAACAATAAAATGAATGAAACCGTTTTATTTTTTTAATAAAATAATGATTACTATTTTTTCCTTACTATCTAATTTATTTTGTGTTTTATACCATATTTTTGAAATGGAATAGCAATGCATTAAAAAGTGCATCACAATGATAAAAATATATATTCATGCTTATCCCTGAGTGTCACATCATACTGTATCTACACTAGCATGGGTTCTCTGCCTTTATTGGAGCCATTAAGAATAAAGCTGACGTTAAATTGAATAATCATGTTTCAAAAAGTAAATCCAGCTGCTGGAACAATCGGCGCTCTGTACCCTCACAGTCCGCTCTCTGTCCAAGAGCGCCTAAGCCAGGTAAGAGTCACATCGAAATCACACTCAGCCCTGCCGCTCTCTTAAAAAGCTTCTACTTATCTACCAGCCACAGGACTTTCTCTTCACAACCATGTAGACGACACTCAGAAATTGATTAGGTAAAGAGCGAGGGACCCCTTTTTTCACATAGCAGCTATAGTCACCACTTTCACGCGGTCACACAATGCTGAGATTTCTGATTTTCTGTCCTTTTTTTTGGTTTCCGTTTGGATCCTCTGATCTTCCGAGTACATTTTGACTTCCAGTCGTTTCGTCGCATTTTTTAAACAGTCAGGGACATCTGAATGTTCAAGGCGAAAGAAACAAAACGGCTCATCGGCAGAAGTGCGGAGCTCTGGTTGACTAATGAATTCCATTAAAAAGACAAAGCCAAATTAAAATTCCACTAGAACATTTCCTGGAACACATCAAATAATGAACCTGGGGTGCAGGGGTGCCAATGTCTTTAATTGTATGAAAAATTAAATGTAGCTAAAGTGAATCAAAGCTTCTAATACAATGTCTTAATTGCACCAGCAGCACATCTTTGCATTAAATTTGGTCATTAAAACTCTCTGGCATATATCTGATGTGTTACTCTGTATTTGTTCATATACATCTCCCTCTCTCTCTAACAATCAAACAGGCAATGCTGTGGTTTGGATGTCCTCCAGACATCCTGCTTCTCCTGCTTTGTGGTTTTGTTTTGCAGATCTCATCTCTCTCTACACCGTTCCTCCTGATTGACAGCTGAGCTCAGGTATGAAAACAAACACAGCGCTCCAGCGGCGGCGGGTGAAAAGCGATCTGTAGCTGACTCCCTTTTACGCCCTCTACCCGCTACCGCTGCCCCTCAACCCTATGCCGATTTCAACACGGGGCTTAAAGAAAACATAGGATTCGGCAACAATTAAGAGCACTCAAAAACAATTCTGGCCTGCCTCTCAAACTCATGCAACAAATAACCGTATATAATCTATTTTCTTTAGATACAAAGAGATTAAAAACTATTTAAAATATAAGAAACATCCAAACTGACAAATAAAAAAAAATCTGCTGTTTGACTTTGTTTACTTGTTTTGTGCAACAGAGTTGGGCAGGTACGGACGTGTCAGTGTGTTTTAGAAAACAGTCTAAGTGTTCTCAGAGTTTCAGCTTTTTTTCCACTCTCTCTCTGCCATTGTTTTTCATTCCCTAAGGCAATCAGTTACTTTTTGCACCTCCTAAACTCTTTCTTACCACAGCGCAGTGTCTCGACAGGTTCACAAGGTGAAAATATGTAAAGGTTTTAAAGAACAGCTGCGGAGATTTCAAAAGCAGTGAGAAACTTTATTTTGATCCAACATAGTTTGGCGGGGAGAGTGATTCCCAGCCGATTTATTTATCGAACAAAAATCAAAGGCAGGTTTTTGTAGTGCGATGACAATAGCACAAAGAACTGTGGGTAGAATGCACAATGCCATCGGTTCAGATATGAGAGCAAAAACAGCAAGGCCAAACAGGCAACAGCCTCCTTTTCATCCTCGTGCCATCTTTTATCCAGCACTCTCCTCCATTAATTTCGAGCTGGAGGAACGTGTGGCCTTTGTATTGATTTTTTAACCCGACTATTAATGCGCTCTCTGATTTATCATAACACTTTAGATCTTAATCATAAGTTGTGTGTGTTTTCTCTTTTCCAGCTTGGTGCCTTTGTTTGTGTATTAATTAAGCAGACCTTGTGTGTCTCCAACCCTGAGCTTCCTTTTTAATTGCCCGTATTTACATCAGGCCGACTTCAAACGCAGAGAGAGACATTTTGTAAGGGGGAGCACAAAGGAGGCCTTTGAAATGTCTACAGTCATATGAAATGGCAGGCTAATTAGAAACCTTAGGCTGCCGGTATGATATGAAAAGTAATTCTGTCTGTTTCTCTACAGTCGCCCACAGCCTCACTGGAAATCACGACGGAGGCCACTGCCTGGTGGGGTATTATCAACGCCTTCTACCTGTTTATAACTTTTAAACATGACCTCACCCAATGCCATTTATCCAACAGAAAAATACCCTGTAATTGAAAAAAATCTCCTTTCAAAAGGCTAAATCTTTCCTCGCCATTTTCTTCGCTGCACTTTGATCTACGTTGCCACATAACAGGGACAGGTACAATGAATCTGGTTTACTGAGATGTGATTTACATTTGGGGGTTCATTAAGGTTATTGCCGATGAATGCACTTATTAGAATGTGCGACTGTTTCTTTTTCCCCTCTTCCCCCATCATCTCCACCCCTCCTCCACCCACACACCACAGAGAGTAGGTCTAATCCAATAATTAAAACCAAGGACAAACGTTTTTCATAATTCTAAACAGTGCAGGGATGGAAAAGAGAACCATTAAGCGAGGGAACAAAAAACAATAACACTTCTCTCCAATGTTATTATTACCCTTGCAATCTAAATCCAGCTATTAACTGCCTCCTAAACGTCTTCTCCGTTAAAAGCGTCCTGAAATACTGATGCTATAACATAGAGGATATTCTAACCGTTCTGACACCTGTACCTCACCCAACAAAAAAGGCTGTTATTGAAACACGTGACTGTAAATCAAGAGTCAATGTAAAGGTCTGAGGATATTGGTGTCGGCAGGAATGAATGGCAAAACCAAGTGTGCCAGGGAAAGGGAAGAGAAAGAGAGTTAGAGATAGTGAGGGAGGAGTGTGTGGCTGGAGCCAGGCAGAACTAGTGTGTTATCAGAAAACCGGTGCAGTGCCGTCTCCTGCTACATAAACACGTCTCTGTAACAGCCAGTGCTAAGACCTGCTCATGGAATAAAATAAAAAAAGCCCATGAACACCTTCAGTGGGTAAAAACTGTGTATGGGCCGCACTATCTTCCAATACAAACACACCCATGCAATCATCTCCCCTTTTCTCTGTTTATATCAAGCCCACCTTTGCATGTGTGTTCAAACATTGTAGAAATATATTTCACCAGAATACACAGAATTCTGTCTAATTTCCATTCCAGGAGATAAATAATAAAATATAGCTGCCATAATGCACATCAAAATCATTTAACAGTCATGCTGAGGAGGAAGAGGTTAAAATCAAGACGGGAAAGATAAGAGTGACCAGAAAAGGTTGCTTTCTGATATTTTTCTGCCATATTCTGGCACGTGGACCAGACCATTCTTTCTTAATTTGATGGAAACACATTTGTAAGCGTTACCTTTAATTTCTCCTAACAGCTCGCCTGTGTTGAGTCGCTCCATCTTTTCTTTCCAGTCTTTAGAAAGGAGTTTCTCCATGCAGGAGGATTCTGAAACACAGGCGACATCTCAGAATTAAACTGAATGCATATACAAATGAGGAAAGTAAAACCATTTCACTTTCAGGCTGTATTCTATGCTTCTAGCATAGTAGATTTAAAGGTGCAGTATGTAAGATTGACAGCTAGCGGTTTGAAATGGGTACTGCAGTTCAAATTCAAAATATTGGAGAGGGTTGTTTCCCCCGCCCACTCCTCTTCAGACTTGATTCTCACGCGGGTTTCCAGATTGAGGACAAGCAACAGAAGCGAGCGCAATTGACAATGGAAGGCGAGGAGATATTCACACTTGTAAGTTGATGAGTGGGCATGGCTTTTTATGCCGAGGCATTTTAGGTTGGGTAGAATCTACGATCTCTGACCTAGTTTGTTTGCTGGCTTCCATGGCTGCAATACGCTGTTTTTTCCACAAAATGGCAACCCAGAGTGTCGAATTACTATTGGGTAAATTGGCAGTGGGCGAGATCACACAGACTGAAAAAAAAAACATACATTCCGACACGGAACACATATTTTTTAAAGTAAAATAACTGGCTGTAGCATTGTTTTTCAGAGAAACAAGTACGTGAACTTAGCAACTTAATCTCTGCAAACATATGGTATTTTTATGTTTTAGGACAGTCAAGTTACATTCAGCACATTTAATGTTAAAAGGTCAAACTATGAACACAGGTACAGTATAAATACAAATAAAATTTATAAAGTACAGCTGTATTTAAAAAAAAAAATCTAAAATGCTTACAAATCATATTAGACCGAATTACCACAAACACAGTTTGAGTGAACTTACTTATAGCACAGACAACTGCAGTAAAGAGGCATTCATATGGCAGTGTGCATTGAAATACTGCACTGAAAATCAAAATACTGCAGTGTGTCTTGAAAATCTCTCAAAAGAAGAAAGAAAGAAAGAAAGAAAAGGGGGAGACCTTCCCATTCAAACGATGTGTTGAGCAAAATGAAAGAAACAAATTTCTTCTACTTCACAGGAAAGTGAGTATTACACACACCTGGCTTTCAACAGTCATGATACACGATAATTGTTCTGATGGCTGGACCGTGGTAATAAAGTGAAATTCTATAGAGATCAGTAGCTGAGTGCATTACAGTAGAAAAGTGTGTCAGCTCAGTTCATAAAGAGTATTATGTGTGATGTCTAAAGGTCAGAAAAAAAAATGTAATTCTAAAATAATAAACACTGTGGTTGGTAACTAGATGAAATGCTATAATGCAATATTTTCAAGTTAGGTCAACTACATTCTGTGAAAGTGTCCAGGTGAATTTGTTTCTACATCAGAGTGTAAAAAGATCTTTATGAAAGGTACTAATTTTATTTTATTTTATTTTTTGTATTCAAAGGCCAGGTATGGAGTTACTTCAATTCTCAATCGTGCACATACAGAGAGAAATACAAAGACGAACACGCATATAATATGTAGATAATGTGAGACGTGACCCCTTGTCCGCTGAAGGTCAACCGGAGAGACTGAAAGAGTGATAAGAACAAGGCGCAGCACAAAGAAAGACATTAAAAGGGAAGGTAGACAGGGTGAGATGGGCCCGCTTGACTGGCCCCGCACAGCCGGCAATGATGAAAACAATTAACATTTGTCTGGCAGACAATGAATCAGGAGAAGGAATGGCTGGAATCCGCAGAGCTGCGGCCCCGAGGTCATTGATAAAGAACACACTGCTCACCAGCAAGAGCTTGAAGCTCACAGCCTGGGTCAGCCTGTTCCCACCGCACAATCACACACACACACACACACACACACACACACACACACACACACACACACACACACACACACACACACACACACACACACACACACACACACACACACACACACACACACACACACACACACACACACACACACACACACACACACACACACACACACACACAGGACAGAGAAACACCCAGTCAAATGCAGTGGACAGAGAGAAGAGGAATCAGGTGAAGTGTTCAACAGACTCAAACATCAGGCACAGTTTAAAGTGAGAGACAGTATTAATACATCAATAACAGATCTCTACCTTATCCAAGCTGATGAGCTCTTTGCAGACCATGACCCCTGAGCAGAGGGGCTGCGGGTCTCATGTTGCCATTGGATGACATCATGGACAGGAAGAGTAGAGTTAGTTCCCTGTGTGAAAGGCTAAAGGGCACGGGGCTAAAGCAGACATTCTTGCACGCCGCTGGCAGCCCTCCGGCACCGTAAGCCATAGTTAAACCACTCGTGCACACAATGGATCATTTGTGAACACACTTTGCCAAACAAAAGGGCACAATTCATGAGAATGGGAATGACTTTGGCTATTCTGTTGTGTGTGCTTTGTGTCTGCGTGTATTGTAGTCATACAGTATCTTGAGGTACTCCAGGCCATAGAACATTCCGAATGAGTGACATCATCACACTCATGAATGTGGTGTGATGCGATCTTCATCTCATGCCATACAAATTGATGTTGCAGCTATGCCTCTATTATCATGAGCACTGCTTTATCTTATTCATTACTTAAAAAATAAAAAATAAAAATATGTAGGCATGTTCCGCCAGAAAAATCACAATGTGAGATATAAAGTCACACTGAGACATTTAAATCACTTTGTGAGATATCACTTAGCAATTGTGAGAAAGTTGCAATTGTTGGAAAAATGTTGCAATTGTGATAAAAAAAAGCTGCTGCAATTATGAAAAGTTACAATAGTGAGGTACACTACAGTTCAAAACTTTGTGGTCAGTAAGATTATTTTAAATGTTTTTGAGTCTTTTATGCTTACCAAGGCTGCATTTATTTGATCAAAAATACAGTAAAATAGTAAAAATATGCAAATTATTCCAGTCTTCAGTATCACATGATCCGTCAGAAATCATTCTAATATGTTGATTTAGTGCTCAGTCACTATTTCTTCTTATCAATGTTGAAAACAGTTGTGCTGCTTAATATTTTTGTGAAAACTGAGAAACTTTTTTCAGGATTCTTTGATGAACAAAAAGTTCAAAAGAACAGCATTTATTTGAAATAGATTTTTTTGTAGCAATTATAAAAAGTCTTTACTTTCACTTTTAACAAATTTATCAATTTAACAAACCCTTGTTGAATTCAATTTGAATTATTTTAGTTAAACAAGCTTCCATAAATCTGGGTATATTGGTAAATAGAATCAAATGCGTGATTTTTTATGTGGGCATAAACATGTTTGACTGTTTGCAGAGAGAGTCCATGTGATGGCCACTGCTGTATTACAGGGCAAGGCTAGATCAAGGGGAGGTCACATTTTCTTTGGTTCTCCATTTCCTCTATTTCAGAGGGAACAACAGGACACCTCCGTTTGGGTCATTCTAACATTATTTCTACTTTACTGACTTTCCCAATCCAGGTCTCACAGTTTGTTTCCTTGACCTTATAAGATGTTTCGACCCTGTGTTTTATGTGTGTGATTGAGGTCTTTTGAATAAAAGTGCTTCCTGTCACAACACTCCTCCCCTCAGATAATAACCACATACATGCAGTATGACACGCATACCAACATATACATATGTATACCAAATAGCAGTACATTCTTTACTCTAGGCTGGAAAAAAGAACTGGAAACAGACAAACTTCCTTTTATGGCACAGGGCCGGGATGGATCTGTCCTGGGGGTTAAAAGGTTTTAGGGAAGACTTTTCCCATATTCCTCCTCTGCGTCTTACACACACACACCAACACACGGAGCAGTGCACAGATGCTTCTCCAGCACTTGATCATTAAGGAATGCACCAACTGTTGGAGATAATGCGGTGCCAGCTCCCATTCTGCTCCACTCTGCCTCCCCTGAGAGTGGCCGCTCCCTCACTCCTACACACACACACACACACATTACAGCTGGAATGTGCCAAAGCTGTCCTCCACAAATTTTTACCTGAGTGAGGTGAGGAATGTCCAGCATTTGAGGATGATGGACCTGAGATGCTTGCAAAAAGCAACCTGTGTCCACAACTGTCTGAAACTATATGGCTCTTTCTGCATTTTCATGAGAGGATACTTTAGGAAAACAAGCAGTTAATGAGACAGACGTCTGGGTTTTTTCAAAGTACCCTTATAAAGCTAGAACATTTGAAAGGAATTTGGATTAATAATAAGGGGATATTTTTTTGCACAATTTCCCAAGTTGCATTCCATCTTCTCCAGAGAGAGCCCTAATGCCAATGGAAACACTGCTTAACATCTGGATTATACTTAAATGTCATACTAACATATTACCGATGTAAAGAAACAAAAGTGGACCATTCATTTTGAAAAATCAAACAAAGCTTCAGCCACATCCATTCATCTCTCAGCACTGCTGCTACTTCAAATGAGAAACGCAGCACAGCTCATTGAACAAGGTACATTTACTTCCCACATTTGCATTCGGATTTCAAAATACAAAGAGTTCAGAGACAGTCTGACATTTATAGACTCTGAAAACTGAAGAGGAAGTGTGGAAAAGACTTGTACTTGTCTGTAAAGGCCTGTCAGAGGCCTAGAATGAGCAGATAAATAAAGCAAGCACTGACTTTATTGTCGTTATCCCATGAGACCCCCAAAAATCTCCTCATGCCCTCTCTCCTCTCGGATAAAGCGTGGCGTGGCTCAAGGGAAACCAATTCAGCCCAGATGAGATTGGAATGAAAACAATAGCCCTTATCTGTATTCTTTTTGCATTTTCCCAAGGTTCCCCCATCTCAACAGACGGCTTAGCCCCTGCCACAACGGACCCGGAGCAGCTTTCTCGGCCCTTGCCCGTCCCACTGATATGACATGGCACGGGCACTGGGGAGAGGGCTTGGAGGACGACCCACTGATCTATAACCTCCTGGGAACTAATTCTAAGAGACGAGAAGAAGAGACAATGAAGAGAGAGAAACAGAGAGAGACTTGTCTCAGTGCGCGTGTTGACGCTCGGGAGACCATCCCTGTCAAAACACCAGGATTAGAAGGCAGCACACTCGGGC